CTATCTTTCAAGAATTCCCATTCAGTCGTCTCAACTGGGTTGTTCAGGATGTTGCTAAGTGTGCTAGTACGTGTTAGTTCTGTGTGTTGCTCTAGACATGCGGCTTAACGCACAGTTATAAAGTGTGGTGACATGACTTCTTAGTCCTTGTAAGGTGTCTATAAGTGGCCAGTAGATCAAGTTTCTCATTTGTAATTATGAGGTTATTTTCCGTTGTTTTCTTATCATCCTTATAGCTAGTAGGTGAGGTGATGTAGGTTTAGAGCTGCACACTGGCGATAAAGTCTTGCAGTTCGGCTTTGTATGTTACGCTGGAGGCTGTTGAGATTTTTTAGGGCTGACCATTGAAATCACCGGAGATAAAAACGTGAATGTAAGTTGGGAGTAATCATTTCTTCAGTGGCAATATTAGGTGAGAATCTGCCTCTGGAGTAGAGGAACAGGGGCGATATATGACTGCCAGTATACAGTCGTCGTTGTGTCTGAGACACAAATGGCACGATAGCGATTCGGTTACCCGCGTTTCCGGATCATGTAGTTATTCTCATTTTAAGCCGTTCCAATAGTATGGGAAAGCACCACCTCCCTTGCAGTGACGCTGGTGTCAAAAAGTACATTCCTTGAAGCCTGATCTCGGCATCTGTAACCCCTGAGTGCAACCAACTCTCCGTTTTGAAAAAAAAGATCCCAAATGTTTCTTGCCTATCGCAACGAAAGATCGGCTTTTTGCTGAGGAGAACTTGCACATTCGTGTACATGCAAGAAATGGTTTCGGTTCTCGGCAGCGATCCGAATCATTTGTGGCTAGGATGAGAGGTTGCACCCATCGATGTATGGTCGGTCGCTAGCCGCTTTTGTGGCAATATCGGCAAGTCGCTTGGAGTTTGGTTTAGTGGCGTCGTAATTAGCCCCTCTGACAACTCAGTTTGCACAACGCAGTGAAAACGGCTGCAAGATTGCAAACGAAGCGGCTCATTTCCTTCTGTCTTGCTTTTGGGGTTAATTTTGGTGGTGATAGCTACTTTGGTTACTTGCTGTCGTAGCGCTTTACCTCGGACGGCAGTTTTGCTCATCGCTTTGAACCGGATGTCGGTTGGCAGTCTATTCCGAAGTAAATATCAGCGTTCCGGTAGCGTAAGTGCCATCTGCCAACTTCATAGCACAATTTTAAATGACTTTTATCTATACCATTTGTAGAGTTCTAAGCTTTGCAGCTTTGAAAGTGAAGTAGCTACAACGTCATTCAACAGCAGGGCTCAAGAACATGGCTCCACTGCTCCTGCTCTAATGCTGCTGCTTCGCATTTATCATGCTTGTGAGACTAGCGGACACCGTGAACAAAAACGGTTCACGTGGCGGTGTTTAGCATTAATCTTCTAAGCTCTGTCTTGCTTGCTTGTGCTCGCTCCATTGAACTTCTATAAAGACACGAACCAAAAGGATTTCGTTTTGACGGGGAGCAGTCCTAAACATTGCCGCTTCCAGATCACCGACAGAGTTTAGCACAATGCGAAGAAAACTAACTTCGAAATAAGGCTTGGAATTCGGGTGGTGGTTAGTCCTCGCCACGCTGGAGCGTTTAGTTAGAATAACGTTACGTACGGTATTCCATTTTTTAGGTCATCTACATGTTTTCCCTCAACGAATTCGATGTTGCCTCATAAACGTTGGTACATATTATACATACGACATCCGGTTGTTTTTGAGTGGCTTTCCTGCAAGAATGGACAGTAGTTGTATACCCAGCGATTTGCAGTGCATTCAGGCAACATTACCCTTCACATTACTTATGAGTGTGGTACTATAAACATCAATGTCTGGTTTTGGATTGCTGCTTAATGTAACAACTGCTTAGTTTCCACTGCTATCTCCATGTTTCCTGGGTTTCAGCGAAGTCTGGTGGGAGGAAGTGGGTTTGGGGGAGATTGCTATAAATCGGCTGGAAGTGAAGCTTTCGAGAAGGATTTGGCGATTTGGGTTATTAACCGTGTTTGCAAGAGCAGCTTTATTATTTTAGTATTTGGCGTTGTTGAGTTGGCTTACAGAGAATTTTAGCAGTTTGTCCTGTATCACACATTATGATATACTTGCTCCAACTGAAGCCATTTTGCTGCCTAGCATATCTGGGACCTATCTGGGGCACTGCAGTTATGATTTTAACGAGTGCGGCAGTTTCACAATTTGCACCCAACCAAAGGATGTCAGGCCTGCTGCTGAGCAGCCATCACCTACTTTATGTGAATTTCCCGCACTTCGCATGAAAACGAGTTAAGCAATTTCCATGGAAAACCCCTGTTTTAACTACCCTATTACACGTCCGATTGGCGCCTTTAAGCACTGCGGCTCGGTTATAAGCACCCACCAGGACACGCGGACTTGTGATGACTAGTCCTATGCAGGACGTTGGATTGGTTGATCCGGCGTCAAGGTCAGCCCAATATCTCAATCGCTCATGCGGTGTCTTGCAGATAGTGGATTCAGCGGTGTGCACACAAGCACACGAATGCGTAGGGTTTATTCATGATGTCGCGTTACACGACGAAGCAAACGGTCTTTGACATACTATCCAAGTGACTCAGACGAGCTGTGTATCAGGTGAACGACGCGAAATGTCGCTTAATTTGGTTATGCTGTTACCTGTAGGGATAGATACATGGTCGTTTGAAAGTCCACAGTTTCTAGCAAATGATACCAAAATTCTTCTCAAAAAGCTCGGTAGTGCTGTGATTTCCCATAGGAAACTCAACGAAGAATATACCGGAAATCAGGACGGGAGTAATAACATTATCAACACAAGTTAGATCCAAGAGATGGAAAGTACTTAGTATTGCTCGTTGTAATTTTTCGAAAGAGCACACGCACATGAATTCGTGTGTGAAGCGAAAGCCGTAATAATGTATAGCCGTACGGCAAACAAACAAGCAAATAACTGAACTGCGAATCAGCGGGCAGTTGCAGCAGGTGGTTTTATTTGGTCCAAGATACTAGGCCAGGATTTACATAGTAGTACAGATGCAGGAACATCAAAGACACAGAAAATCATAACAATAAACGTTTCATGGTTAGTTGGGTGGAATAGCTTCGACAACGATTCACTACACCAGTTTCGCTGGGACATTTCATCTCCAGATGATGCATGCAAACTCATAGCCGGATAATCTGGATGCTATATCGAAGGCTGAGATTTAAAAAGCTATCAAAACCATCAATATTGTCTTGTTACTTAGTCAGATCATCTTTTTTATGCATTGTTTGCGGATGTTGATTAAAATCTTTTGGAAATCACCGAGAAGTCTGGTCGAGCAAATGAAGTACAAGAGACCATCTCGAAAAACATCCGAACTTGATCACAGTAGTAAGTCGAACTACTTTCCAACCATAGAATTTATTAGACAAACACTGATGTTAACAAATCTACTGGCCTTAATTCTAGTTCATCTCCTCTGAGGAACAAGAGTCCTTGATAACAGAAGAGCAAACAGGATGTTGTTAAGAGCTGGGCTGTTTAGACTACATATTCACCATGTGGCAGGCGTTAGGATAGCGAAAAGTCTGTGCTGACTGATAATATTTGTAAAATCAGCACACAGTTCGAGTTCGAGCATTTTATGAATACCTATTTAGATCGGTGTTTCCATGAAATACGTGAATAGTTTGCCCCCCCTCTGCTTAAACACCACTAGTTCCGTCAGTGTTTAGGGTTACTTATATATATGTTACCGACAACAACCGGTGTTAATCTGGACTATTTAACTTCACTATATTTTCACCTTCGTCGTGGACGCATTCACGGAGTGTTTCCTAGCGGAATCTAACGATTTGTTATCCGGCATTAACATAGTTAACCTAGATTATGAGAGCGATATTTTCTGACTTATTGACTTGGAGTTGGCAATAAAACCTCTATAAGCTCTCTGAGGTACGCATCAATTTTCATTTAATTCACGCCTTCAGTTTGAAACCGTTTCTGCAAAAGCAGCAGCTACTTGATGAGCACATGATTCTTGTTGGTACTTGATTAGGTTACCTACCTAGATAACTACGTCGTCAGAAATTGGTACGTAAACGCATTAAATGTGTGGCATCAGAATGGATATCCCAATGTCACTAATGCCGTTTTTATAGCCATGTTTAGGAACGATGTAATGGGTTGTGTTGAGGCCGCCTATCCTATCAGATGCTCTGAAGCGTATTCTAGTAATCGGTGTTTGTTATAAAGAGAACACATCGGGGGTCTTGCATTATCTGTGAATCCGAAAGGATAATATATGTAAACAAGTAATAGCTAATGGCCGGCTGATCATTTTATTGTAAAAAATGAACGTTATTTTCTTGAGTTTAGATAGCTCGGGCATGTGTAAAGTATATCCAGTTACCTCTTTCTGTGAAAGGTCTGGTAGTGTTATCTGATGTGGACAGTTGTTTGGCTCAAAGTGGGCTATATTTGACTTGGCATTATGACAGTAACTTACTGAATAGTTCACTGAATTTCACTGCTATGGTTCGCTTTTCTGGTTAGAAACGACCCTACCCACCTCTTTCTTGACTGGAGACTTTACAGAATGCATCTGATACCAGTAGTGCTTTCGTTGTCTTGTTATTACCAAGGTTTTCTTTCACTGGGTGTCTGACGCTGGATTGCTAAATGAGTCATAGCTGATTATGGTACGAATTCATGCGCCCGCAATGAAATTGTGTCGCCGATGACACTTACCTTCGCTCAAGAGCCAATTGACATTAGCCGACCTTTTCGACAAGATGTAGGCAATTTGATCCTACATTCTTATTCTCTGCAATGCTTAGGTATTTTTAATGGGCACTCTTTTCTCATAATTGTTATTCTTAATTCATTTCAGGTCAAGTCAATAACAGAACTTTGGTCACCCAAGTAGGGTGCATTTTCGGCCCTAGATTCTTGTGTTAGTATCGCAACGATATCACATTTCAAGTCACTGTTGTGTCGCTACTGATGGTGATATTTTTTACTTCATTGTGTATAGGGGGAAGCAAAATACATTATCAACATTTTACCGTCGGAGAACTACTGTGGGTTAGTCGGAGATACAAAGATCCCGCTTACTTCTGGCACAAGGGTAAGTCTGCCTACACATTGTATACAGCAGTTCTGATGCATATGTCTCGTATAGAATTAAGACATCTGGCCTAAAATATTGTATTACGTGCAGTTATAGACCCATGGTCCGGCACACTGCACTAGATTCCATTCTAGATCTATTCCAGCCCTTCCATCATCTTCTTGAGAACGCATAACCATGCCAACATACTACTACATGATACACGATAACCATCAACGGTAATTGTCCACTCTCTGTGTGTTCTGTGAACCCTGGATTTGGGTGAGAATTGTCCTATGAGTAAAGAGTCGTAGAAACTAAAACAATAAAATATAAGTAAATCGGATGGAAGCTTCTTACTGCAGGTCAATAAAAACAAATAAGATTTGATTAGAGGTTATCGTTCTGTTTCGAACCCGCTACAATTGTTATATATAGTGTTTCTCGCTTTTGCGTATGCCGATCCAAATCCTCAGCGACATTGTCATTAGGACATCAAATTTTACAACGCATTGTCTACAAGTTGTTCAGCATAGGTGAGGATGAAAGTAAGATGAGGCATATACTTCGGCTCGGTGAAAATCTACTGAGAAACACCGACGTATAGGATTAAGCTTTGTCGGCGAGTCCAGCACGAAAATAATGTTGTCTCGGCTGACTAGGCTGAGACAGTAAGGTGCATATTCGCTCGAATATGGATCTAGTTAAACAGAGAGAGATTCAACTCTACTGGTGTCGAGAGGAATCTGCAAACCGCCTTTAAGAAAAGGAACATAGTTGTGGTACATTTTCATCCACATACACCTTTACACCTTACGTAGATGTGGGAAACACCTTGGCTACTGTGTCACAATAACTAAAAGAAAAAGCACAATAAATTGCAATAGGTGCAAGCCAGCTGAGATACCGGTAACAGATGCGTATCGTTCCGGTTAACTACCTGCCGTCTACTATGCAGCAAAAAATAATAATAATTTACCCTGCAAAATAATGAGATCGCGATTGCAGGGGAACGATAAGAGGGAGACAGTGGGACAAAGAAACTCACAGCAGGAAAGCCACTAAGTTCGGCTCCTAGCCATATCAACAAATGTATTCAGACAAGCGTGTTCATCATCTTTCGGACCCTAGCCAGGGAGCCGTGACGCTCCAGCAGAGGCCAGCTTCGAAGTGAGGGCCTTCATTCCTCTTAACCATGTCATCGCTTGGCCACCACTAATTATCTTTCATCCACACCCCGAAAGCGCAAACAACGCATGTCGCTGGAGTTGATGGGCTGGCATGCATAACACGTGGCCGAGTCATCGGAGCCTAGTGCGTGAAATAACGGTGCTGAGCAGTTCATTTTCCTTTTCTGTGCCGTAAACAAGGCATAGAACACGCTGGCTGCTCACGCGGTGTTCGCGCCAGATGTGAGGTAAACTTCGAAGGCACCGGTGATCAAAGGTAACTTACCTCATTAGGTCCGCTGATCTAAAGGTCGAACGTACCGCTGCATTGTACACTCTACCTTTCAGGGCAAGGATGATACGCGCCGGCGCCATAAGTAGCGAATTTTAGCAAAAGCGCCTCAAGCTTTACTATACAGTTTGTTATCTCTTCCTCAATCATCGGGCGCTGATGCGACTTCCCAGGTAGTTGAATTTCTGAACGACTTCTAGCTGATCCCCACCAACGGTCAGCGAAGGAGGCGGTCCAGGCAAATCTTGGAGGAACTCTTTGTACTTCGATAGTGCAAAGCATAGCCTGAAGCCGCTAGCAGACAATGCTAATATGTCCAGTGCCGCTTGGCACATCTCTGGGATGTCACAGATTAGGGCAATATCACCTGCATACTCCAAGTCAAAAAATCGTTCTCCTGGGAGCAGCTCCTCACCTTCTAAGTCGTGCCCAGTGAACGCGATTTCCATGAATTCTTCAACAGCGAATTTAAAGAGAAATGTTGACAGCCGGCATCCTTGTCTCACACAGCTGGGGACATTAAAAGGCGACGACAGCTTGCCGTAAGCCCTCACTCTGCCTGAGCTACGCGCGTAATACGCTTGAATATTATATACATAATTCTCAGGTACATCTTTCTTGAGTACACAGTCCCAAAGTGCACGGCTATCTACCAAATCGTATGTGCCTTTGATATCGAGGAACACGACAACGGTGGGCCTCCAATCTATGTGACGGTGCTCCAATCACTGACGCCAATTGAAAATGCGGTCAATGCAGACACGATGTCGACGATACCCGGCAAGCTCTTCACGAATATGGCTTTCACAGGTGCCAGTCAGTCTGTGAAGAATGAAAGAGGCAAGCAATTTAGAAGCGATGGTGATCAGATTGATTTCTCTCTGGTTGCTACCTTCTGATCGTGAGCCACCCTTGAAAATTGGGACTGTGACTGAACGGCCCCAGCCGGTTGGGACAGCTTTCTGCTACTACAGCTTAAATATTAACTCGTATAAATCATCCACCAGAGCAGGTCCCCAGAATTCGAAGAGGGCTGGATGTAAATCATCTGGTCTCGCGGCTTTGTTTAACTTCAACAGTGCCATCGCACGTTCCACTACTGAGCAAGAGGTTGGATCCAAAGGGACAGCCCAGGGAGAGGTGTGATCAGTGGCCGGCGAGAAATCTAAAAATTGCGGTTGATTAAATGGCTTATCAAATTGTTCAGCCCATCGCTGTAAACGTTTTGACAAGTTGTGGATAGGCTGCCCACTTTTGTCACAAATTGTTTCACTAACACCAGGTCTCCTGCTGCCCCTTTTCCCGCATCAACCGGAATAACCTACGATGGATAGCAAGGGCAGCGGTCACTTTCATCTCTGACACACGAAGAGACCATTAGGATTCGCGGTCTCTCTTCAGGCTAGCATGGAGTTTGCCCGGAGCTCTTTGTGCGTTTCATCGCGTCAGTTTCCAGCCGGAATATGCCGGCGAGCATCGATAAGTTCCAGAGACGTCGAAGAGACCCAATGCCAATGTTGGCGATTAAACTTATTACATGAGGATTTTCCTGCTTCTAATAAGGTCTGGTGAATACGAGACCAGTGAGCCTCAATTGCATCTAGTGAGCGTTTATCCAACTCGCATGACAGCGTACTGTGATAGGCATTCAGAACAGTTGTTTTCGCAAGTTGGCTGGTGTCAGTGCGGTCACAACCTCTTCGTGGGCGTCCGGCAAAACGCATCCGAATGTCAGCACATACAAGTGGATGGTCGGTGTCCACAAATGTGCTCCAAATCGAGCGACAGTTCTGGACGCAGCATCTCTGTCGGTAACTTACCGCAATGTGATCGATTTGCGTCCACAGCTGATTCGAGGCTGGTGGGCGCTAAGTCACCCTCCGGCGGGTGTTGTGTCGGAAATCAGTGCTCGCAAGCATTAATCGGGCATCTTCGTGTAAGTGAAGTAACCGTTCACCGTTATCATTACGGGAGCCTACACCGTGCTGGCCGCCCAAATGCATTTCATCAGTGGATAATTTTCCAACTTGAGCTTTCAGATCCCCAGCAAACACAACAGTGTCCGAGCTTCTTCTGGGGAGAATGAGCTCGTTCAATTGGCGATAGAAGTCTTCTTGTACCGAATCATTGTTAGAGTTTGTAGGTGCATAGGCCGCGATAACGAATAGACACCTCTTAGTCACGCTGGACTTTGAAACTTTGAACGAGCCAGCCAATCGGATCGCACATAACCGGCTACTGATTGGAATCCAATCAACCAGAGCAGTTTCAGCCCGGGGACTCAGGGCAATACCAACACCGGCATGGTCGGTGCTCGAAGCTGCAGTGAGAAAGTGCTGCTTGGGTCACCTGAAGGGGATCGCAAAGTGAGCACAGAGCTCGAGTCTTGCAGGCGAGTCACCGATAAGCAGTAGATTTCAATCGAGAGAGTGTCTAATGTTCGGGCAAGCGCTGCCTGCTGACCGATCTGAAGCAAAGTACATACATTGAGTCATGTTAATCTAAAGGATGATCGAGGGCTCCAAATGGAAGTCGATGAAATGGGCTTGACCGTTCTGTTGGACATAGGCTTGTCGACAGGGCAGGAATAACGCTCCGCATTCACATGTGAGTTGAAACTAGAAGGTAAGAGCCCAGCAAAAGATGGTGGGGCCAATAATTGGTGGGCTGAAAACAGTTGCGATTAAAGTGAAGCTAGAACGGGACAGGGAGAGAAAAAGCTTAAGAGAGTAGTAACAAAACGGGAAGGCTTTAGCAGTATTTTCCAAATCCCTATCCACCCTGTTCGATGCAGCAGACAGAGCACCGATGATTATCCTCTGCGGTGACCAGAGCCTCAAGAAGCTATTTGAAGAGAATTCCATGACCCCGCGTGGGTAGGCTACTGTCAGGTTTCGTTAAGGCAGAGAGAAGACAGAGGTTGTGATATGTCAACATTTCGATTGTTCTCTTCAGTCGCAAACACAATACGATCAGAAACATCAAGGGATTATATACATGGAAAAGCGGGCACCACCAATCAAAATGTTACAGTCAGGACCATGGCAACCGATTGGATTGCCTCAAGAGTTTGTGTGCACATAGCACAGGTTGATAAGCCTTATTTAACAACGCCTCACTAATTGCTAGCATTATCGGGTTTTTGTTACGTAACACCACTTTGAACGCTGTCTCGGGGTTTACGTGATGACGGGTTGTCATAATGTGCTTGGTGATAGACGATGCCGGGCTCCGATTGATGCTCACATTCGTCCCATGTTGTTGCGTAATCACTTGTCCCAACCACTTTGGCAAGTGTTCAGCTACCCTCTGAGCTAACTGACGGTTTGTTCTGCCTATGTAAATGTCACCGCAACCGTAGGTGAACTGATAAACAACGTAAAAGGCCGAACTACCTGACGAGTGCTCTGACGGTTATGAAGAACTAGTGCTTGTGTGGTATGCCTGAGACGCAACTGGGTTGTCGTGTAGATTCGCGTTAGGGCGGACCGGAGCTTGCGTCCGATGTCATTTGCCACATGGTCCCCTTGAACGGCAAGAACAAATAAACATTCTTT